AGAATATATATATATATATATATATACAATTTTCTTTTCGAAAGTGGTTACGTAAAAAGAAAAGATAAAGGTAAAAAAATATAAAAAAAGTGCGAACGATTAATTTATTTCTTAATCGTAATAAACGTATAAATATATTATTATTACGAACTTTGAAACGGCATCGAAACGGCGGCGCAAGAAACGAAAACAAATCGACCGACATTGACATCCAAAATATCGATACAACGGAGTCGTGTTTCGAACGCCGAGCAGGACGGACGTGTCGCTCGTTCGTTTCTCGTATCGTTTCACGAATAAATTAATTATTCCAACGTTGTAAAAATTGTACACAAAAAAAACATATTACAAAAAAACAAATACAACGATACATAAGAATACATATATTTTGCACGTACGTATATATATTTAAAAAAAAAGGATTCTAAAAAAGATTTCGCGGACCCCCTTTAGCCCGTCCATCTTCCCCCTCAATCCCGATTCATCCCCGTTAATACGCCTAATCCGAGGATCTATAACACATCCCCGAATTTGACGAAGTTTCGCCCGTCGGACGAAAATTAAACCGCAATAATCCACGATCCCATTTAACCCCTCCCTCCTCTTTAACCATTAACCACCACTGTTCCCAATTAGTTCGGATTAACAAGATTTCATCGTGGCCCGCGTGGAACGCGCACCTGTAACCGATATCCCGCACGGGGAGGGGGAGGGGGCAAGGTTTTCGATATATCGAGGAGCTAATATAAACGTCAAACCTGCACGCCGGATCGCCCGCGGATATCTCTCTCTCTCTTTCTCTCGCGCATGCGCGGTGTTTTCTTACCGCGTCATTGCACGTGTATCGTCGTATAAAACTGTGGACGTTGCGCGTTTATACGCTTTTTAATATCCGTTGCGGCGGATCGACGACCGACCCGTCACCGTGCGCTGTGAATGACGAATGATGAGGAGAGGGGGAAGAATCGTCGATATTAGAAAAGAAAAGTTAAATAAATAATGAAAAAAAGTAGAGGTGAGATGTGAGTTTGCGATGACAAATCCGTCATTCGGACAAAATTGTATTAATTATTATTATTTTATATCTCGATGTGCGTATACATAATAGATATTTAGATTCGTAAATTTGAAAATTTCGACGAAGGATAGATTTTTAACTCGAAATACGAAAAATCAATAATCTTTGGGAATAGTTTGATGATTTTTTTCTTATCTCAAATAATCTCGAATAAATTTGTCGATGCGTTAAAAAGTATCTCGTATATCATTTTCTGAAAAAATAAACTCAACTTTCATGTTCTGTTCGCGCGGAAAGAGCAAAACATCGAATCCTCCCCTCCCCTTTTTAGAAATTATTCAGAACTTTTTCCCCGATATTCCTCCTTTTTTTTCTTTTTTTTTCCTTCTTTTTCTTTTTTTTTCTTTTTCAACGGAACGAACAATTTCGAAATTATTTCCGACCCGCGCTCTTACGCGAAACAACCTTACACGTATACCACCACGTCTGACAGAGGTCGACGCCATTCCGCCTCAGGGGCTATACTGTCGCTTATGATGCTACCATGACGTGCCAATAAACCGGCCATTCTATCCGAATGGAATTTGCATGTATTTCGTTCCTTTACTTTTGTTCCACCATTTTTATGGCTCGATCGAATTCTCTTTCTCTTTCTTCTTTTTCTTTTCTTCCAGTCAATGGTATTCAATGGTAACGATTACCATCGTTATTATACTCGTACGTACAAGTAATAAAACCGAGATATATTTACCCGACTTTTATCGTTAAATATCTCGTAAACCATCTTGAACGATCAACATTTCCCCCTCTCTCTCTCTTTCTCTCTTACATATCCAGTCCTTGTCAAAGTTTTATCGATCTATATATCGCTCGAATTCTACATTCCGTTTCCATTTTCCGTAAAAATAAAATTATTATTTCATAATATGTATATACAGAGAAGAGCCGTTTTCATGGAAGCGCATCGAAATTTTCGAAATGATGGTTAGGGGGGGCCGGTGTTCGTCGCGCAGGTGAACGAACTCGTTTGCCTCATTTCCATAGAAATCCATGGGATCACTTTAGATTTCACGTGCCGCCAAGTCTATCGACGGCAACGCGCTCGCGTTATTACACGATTCCCCGCGTTTCCAAATATATGTTGGGGAGGGGAGGTTAGCCGGTACAAGGCATGATCCAAGGCGGGTATCCGGCGCACAGAGAGACGACGCCCCGCAAAATCCCCGCGTCGACGCGGGATTTGGCCGGGATAACGCAGCCTTGAGTCGTTCAACGCGTCACACGTTGTTCTCTCCCTCTCTCTCTCTCTCTCTCTCTCTCTCTCTCTCTCTCTCTCTCTCTCTCTCTCTCTCTCTCTCTCTCTCTCTCTCTCTTTCTTTCTCTCTCTCCCCTTCGCCAATTTCTTACGACGGTTCCAATGACACCGGGAACGGATCAAGGAGCAACCTATTTCTTTCAACCCCGTTGAAATATTTTTGGCGACGTGGTGGATTTCCGTCTTCCTCCCCTCTTCCTTCTCCCTTCCTCCTCCTCTCCTCTTCGTTTTCTTTCGAAATATATAAATTCCGTGGAAGGGAAGAGAAAGTCTCAATATAACTGAGGCTGAGTGTGTTGTTGGGGGGATGATTTTGGGAGAGAGAATTTTTTTTGGGAGAATAGAGTGTTCTTTCTCGTCGAAAATGAAAAGTATTTGAGAAGTTGATAGAATTTGTTTTTTTTTATTATTAAATTGTTCGAGATGAGTAGGAGATTTGTAATTAAAATTTTGTAATTTTGGTTTATCGTAATTACGCGTAAACCTACTCAAACGTTGCGCTGTCCAACCTCTTAAACCATTAGCCCATCATCTAAGGCCACGTTACTAACGAACCTGTTTGCCATAGATGCCTCCAAGACCTTTACGACCCTTGCTACAGCAGCCTATTCACCCTCTACGTGCCTCGCAGTTGTTTGCTTATCCAAGAACGGGTGAGTCGGAAACGCGATCATTTCCGATATTTAAAGCACCAAAATTTAAGGAACAGAATGGAAAAGTTATCTCGTTTCTGCGAAATAAAATTTTTCTTAGAATTTTTAAGATTGTACACAGGAAACGATACTTAATATCATTGGTCGAAACTTGTTGTCCCTTTATAACGAGTCAGACGGAAGAATATAAAACGATAGAAAAATAAAAAATTACAATTTATTTTTATTGTAATAATAAATTTTGACGACCATTCTTTTCCTCCATTTCTTCGATCGACAATCATTCCTCTCATCCGATAGACTGTTTCTCTCCCTCCTCCCTGAATATAAAAACTTCACTCATCGTCGTATGCTTTACGACATCGTTGCCAAGTTTCGTTCGTTCACGAGAAATATTCACGAATCACCTCCGCTCTACTCGCTTTACGTCCAATTTACGAGAGAAAAGCCACGCGCTCCTTATATAAAATAATTCGATACGTTGTCTTTCGTAAAAAATGATCAACCGCTTTATTATTATCATAATACAAAGAATGGGTCAAAGGGAAACTGGGAGACTAAAAGAGCTAAAAATTCGATGGAAGGAGAGAAAGAGAGAAAGAAAGAAAGAAAGAGGAAAAGTTAAAACTTTGACCGAATGAACCGATATAATAGGCGACGTTGCAATTTATCCTCTTCCCGGAGACGTGGCATCGTCTTTGAGGCATAACACTCAACGCTACCTTCTCCTCGCAGCTTTGACCATTGATCAACCAGAATCATTATCATAATTTAAATATAATACATATTTCAAGTTTGGGACAACGCGTATAATTTTTACAAGAATTTCTGTCGAATATTTGAAGAACATTCGCCATTCTCCCTCGAAGCGAGCATTCGAAATGACAAAGAGACCATCTTCTTTCTTCCTCCTCTAGAGCAGCCTTCTGCACGGCTCAAGCATTCTCTTTCCGCGCAACGAGCCTCCTCTTCGCCGCCACGAGCCACGATTTCAACGAAGCCGGCGTTAATAGCCTGAGGGACAGAAGGAGGGGAGGAGACTGGCTCAAAAAACGCTGACGCGCCGATATACAGGGCGGGGTTAGCTTCTAATTTGTCCGATCAACACTCGCTCGCCCCTTGTCCCCTCCATTCCTCTCTCTCTCTCTCTTTGTGTGTTCCTCCGTGCATATCGTTCCGTCGCATATTAATCGAGTTTATCCGTTTACGGAGAGGGGTATAGCCGATGGAAGAAATATAACAAGCTCGTGGAATTGGCCGGATATATCGAGATGGTACGTGTCCCGGGAGTTAAATCGATGAAACGTCCCGAAAATATCGATTGGCTCGAAGATGGCTTCGACGCACCTGCCGTGTCCAACGATATTATACACTAATGTGTATTATATTGTTAATAGGCAGCCGATTTTCGAAAATCGAAGAGAAATTGGATTAATGGAAAGAGGGGAACGTGGGTAAAAATTTGCACATTTTAATTTCGATCCGAGGTATTTTTATGTATTTCTTCCCGATCGACTATACGCCAAGTATTTTATAAATGGCGTTCGCGCGCCGGTAATTACACTCGATCGAGCTTTCACTCCCTCTCGACCGGTTCAAAGCGGTAATTTCATTTTCCTCCATTTCTCTCTTTTTCTTTTTTTTTTCCCCTCCCTCTCTTTATGTAAATCAACCTCGTATCATCGACGAGCGTTTGAAAAGTCATAAGGAAAAATTGCGTTCTTGCGAATCGTTCCCTCTCGTTAATTTTAACGATTAAGTTTAAATTGAAAATATATATACCGAGTGCAAACAGAAAATTCGAGAAAATTCGGGGCACGAAAAAGAAAGGATGTTATCCGTTTTTTTAAAAAGCAATTTTTTTCGAGAAGGAAATTATCTCGTAATTCGCCTTGGGAAACTCGAAATTCCGAAATACCGATGCAATATTGATAACACAGTTCCGGGCGTGGGTCCAACGTCGACGTTATTTTTTCTCTCTCTATTTATTTCTTTTCCTTTTTCCTTCTTTCCCTTCCTTCCCCCATAGTACATAGTAGAAGATTGGGGATGAAAATTTAACACGGTATACTCGCGCACGACACTTGTTCCCCTCGCAGAAGACAGACAAGCCGCGGGGGGTTTCGCGTTCCATCCAGTTTGCCAATTTTTTCCGAGTGATTCGTTAGGAAAATCGACGCTGGATGGTAGGCGTGATGGCGTGAAAAATTGCCTGTTCCATTTTTGCTTGGAAATTGATAGCTCGATTCGCCAGACAGAGAGAGAGAGAGAGAGAGGAATAATAAAGAAAAGGAAGGGAGATCGAAGAAAGATTTGTTTAATTAACATTTTGCAAAGTAACATTTTTGCGAACAGAATTCACTCGAGTTTCTCCTTTTACGAAGACAATTCTAATCTAAAAATTTCGTCTCGAAAAAACAAATCTCTATCCTATATATATAAATAAAATAACGATTATTTCACTTATCGACGCATCCTATAATAGGTTACTGGGTCACCGAACCAGTTATCGAAGCGTTTACCTCAGAGGGATGCGTTGATTTTCTCGAAACAGGGTTTATTTAATTTTCCTCTCGCTCGTTTAACGAGCTGTTTTGTCGTGGATTCTCACCGCTCGAAAAGGGGAGGGGAGAGAAAAGGCGACGTGGACGACCGCGTCCAGCTCATGGAGTATGGAGGACGTTGGGGCGGAACGACGCCATTTGCAAAAAGGAACGAGCAACCGGTCGTATACGTGTATGCTGCTGCGTGTGCATGCTTTTATAAGGACCTCTCAACGGCGCGTTGTAAACCGGGGGAAATGCTCGGGGTAAACGTTCGTGATAACAAGGCCGAGATTAAGGGAAACGGTGGAGAGTTTCTCGAAGAGGGCGGCGGTGACCGTGAAAAATGGCAAACGTGGCGGTTTCTTGGGTGAAAAGGGGGTGATCGCTTGAAAATCCTCCGATAGTTATTTTTCTAAGTGATAAGTTCGAAAAACTTTGTTCCCTGGCGGTGTTGAGAGTTTATCCGTTGTTCCTCCGCAATAAAAGAACGGAATTCGCTCGCAAGAGGGGGAGGAAATCTTGGTTAAACGGTTTTTCGAGAAATTTTCGAGAAGGATCTGTATTACATTAAAAGTTGTAACGTTTATATAAAGTTAAAAAAGAAACTAAAAAAATAATACAATAAATGCACGGAGTGTACTTCTCGATGTATTTATAACAAATGGGTTTGAATTTTCAAAACGATTCACTTTTGGAGATTATTCACATAGAAATTGAGATTCGCTGCCAAGCATATTGTAATAATATAATTAAAAGAAGACGGGTAGAATAAATTGAAAAAATAGAAAGATTCGAAAAGTACAATTCCAATTGTTCGAAATCGATGATATTTGAAATGCTCTCCCCTCGATATTTCCTTCTCAGGATCAAAAGAGAGAATTTTCGCGCGATAACAACCACGTCAAAATTTTGCCCCGCGTTTTCAACCCCTAATTGCGCCCCCGCTCAAACAAGCTGAACCACCCTCGCTTTCTACAAATGGAACTCCCTTGTATCCGAGCAATCGTTACTCGTACATCATCATCCGCGCCACACACGTAAACCACAACTATCGCCCACGAGGTATCCCCTTAAAGCAGACCTGTCGAACTTGTTTCCCTTCTTCCGAGAGTAAACTCGTTTTACCATACTCTCATGATTAATCTTACGTTAACCGAGTGGATGAAACTCGAGGGAAACTTGGAGAAATTGATTTACTTACTTCGAAGCAAGATAAAGTATTATATGCTCGATTCGAAGTGAACAATATATACATATATTTCATATTTATTTTTATAATCCGTCACATTTGTTTCTGAATTGAATTCTGTCTTGAAAAAACCTGAGAGGAATCGAGAGGGAGAAAGATGGCCAACGTAGTTAAAAGAAGAAAAGAAAAGGAAAGGAAAAGGAGGGGAGAGAGTTACCGACGGAGCACCCTGCTCCTGTTACCCAAAGATAACAACGATCCGTGACGCGTTTGTTGTTTCTCGCCGTTACGAACATCTGGACTGATCGAGGTAGAACCGTCCCCTCGAGGAGCGCGATCGCGTGCCTCTCCCCCCTCCCTTCCTTCCCCCGAAACACGACCACGTGCCTGGAAATAATGGGCGTAACACGGTTTTACGGCCGTTAAAACCACCGGCGAAATTTACGTATTCGGCTCTCGATCATATCCCCCTCCCCTCGAGCAACGCTTATTAATTCCCCCGAAAGAGGGCAGTGAGGTGAATAAATTTTCGCACCTCGCGAGAGAGGATCCTCCAGTTCCATCCTGCGGAAAAAGGAGAGGAGGAGGGGCAGAGTTTTGCTCTTTCTCTCCCTCTCTCTTCCCTATCCTTCTTCGTCTTTCGAGAGTTAGTTGGCGAGGAGGGCGGCTGAGAAGATCGGAAGCGCTCGAGCGCTGAAATACTCTGTAAATTACGAGGTTGTTGGAAGGTGTTTGGGAAAGGAAGAGCGGTGTTTCGATTAAAGACCGAAAGGTGTAAGGGGATGGGGGAGAGGGATTGTTAAAATTGAAGGGAATGTTTGAGATTTGTTTTGAATTTATATCTTTTAATAACGGGAAATTTATTTTTACGCGATTCTTCGATTTTTCCCTTCGTAAATTTTAACTTTCGAACGGTAGTAATATTTTTCGAGATTGGTTCGAAAAGAAACGTCCTCGATGAAGAGATATATCGAAATAATTTGGGAGACGAGATGTTTCGATCGGAATACGCGTTATTGGGCGGCGTTGAAATTCGGGAAAAAATTACGGGAGCCAATTACGGGGCCGTTTTGTCAAAGATTATAAATTATACCGCGAAAAAAAGTAGCGGTGAGGGGCGATAACGATTTTTATCGGGATAATTGCTGGCACGCGAAATTCCCCCACCCTTCCTTCCCTCTAATATCTTTAATATCTCGGATACCGTGAGAAACGTTGGAGAAATCCGCCGATAAAATGTCCTCCGATCTCCACGATACGAGTCTTTTTTTTTAGAGAACATTAGAGACAAATTATCGGCGGGGTGCTCTTTAAATTTTTCTCCGGATGGCTTTGAAACGAGCCAAGTCGATCTTGAATTATTTATTCGATTCGATTTCGTTTTATTCGGATTGATTTAAATTTTTTTCTAATTCACTTTTAAATAATTTCTTCTTCCTTTTTTTTTAATTTAACGGCGTTGAAGAATATTATGCGAGTTACATATGTTGAATGGGAAGAAGAATTAAAGCTCGTTTCATAAATAAAAAAAAAAAGAATTTCTCTTAGTTAGAAATTAAATTAAAAGCCGGGGATCCAGTCTGATTAAACCTAATTACAAAAATGAAACGTATAGCGTGAGAATATAATTAATAGAAATTTGAGATTGAATTAAGCCGAATTAATTCGTCAACTTTTTTAATTATTAATAGATGTTTAATTGAATAAGATAGATCGGTGAAAGAAGGAAATTTTACTCGAATGTGGTTCGAGTGTAATTCGTATTAATTTTTAGTTGAAGAGAACATTGATTAAATAAAACGTTACTGTTCTTAATTCATCCTCGTAGAGGATCGATTGGCAAATACAGGATGTTTTTATAAAATATATTTATATATAATATTTTATCCACGTAAATTGATATCCATTGAAGAGAAAAAAAAAATCTGAAAAACGACAAATTTGCACAAATTTTTGAACACCGCCATATCAAATTCAATTGACGAATCGATTCACAATCGATTTAATAATTACAGTTATTTGAGATATTCCCTAGAATTTCGATCCGAAATTTGCCGCGATTTATGTTCAGATTGAATTTAACGGGGTCATACATCCTTTCGAAAACACGAATTCCCTTTGAATTCGTTGGAAAAATCCGCGTTCGATAAAATCCGCGAAAGGGAAAAATTTACCGACCCTTGTTTCGCGCGAAAAATTCTTAACAAAAAGAGAGCGAGTTTATAAACGCGTTATAAATTCACGTTTTAATAATATATCGATCAACGAATATTGATGGATCAAAACGAAGGATGGTTCAATATTCGATGATTTAAAAATTCGTTCCAAAGATTTTCAAACCGCCTTGTTTTCCTTGCAGATTTTCGAAATTCGATATAATCTTCATATGTGTATTGTGTTGCAAGAAAATTCATCTATCTTGGTTTCAACTGCATAAAACTTATTTACTTTTGTCATGGAATACGTGAAATCAGTTTTTTACGTATAAGATAACGGAGCACCAAAATCTAAATATTTTTATAATTAATTAAATTAAATTAATTAAATTTTATAATTAAGGTACGTTTTAATATTCTTAAGAAAAGAATCGTTGCATGTATAATCTAATTCACGATATAAAAACAGAATTATTGTATTTTCGTAACAATCGAGGAAGAAATTCTTCACCAGCGTAATTGTTCGATCGTGACGTATTAATTTATCATTAATCGGATATATATTTCGAAAAAGCTTGGCTCTAGCTGAAATCCAGCGATTAATTAAATCATTTTATTCCAGATCGTGTGGAATTTTCAATTATAGAATCTCGTTACATTTCTCTCTTCGATTCATTTGCAAATATATATTTTCTACGCCGATTCTTTCATCCCTCTTTTCTTCAGGTACAAAGCCTCGATCGATTCGACCAACAAATATATATATATATAACGGCACAATTTGTGGTTACTTTGAACGAGACACTTTGAGATAACTTACAAACGATTGAATGCTTTTATTTAAAAAAAAAAAAAAAAAACCAGGCAGGGAACACGTTCGAATAACACCGTTAATTGTAATTTAATTAAACATCAAAGTGTCCATTTAATCGTTGGAAAATTGATTTAGCTTCCAGTTTGAAACGAATTCTTAACGAATAATATCGTAACTGTCTGAATTATATCCCCTAAACTTGGGAAAATAAGTGACAGCCAATAGATAAAAAAAAAGAATAAAATAAACAACTTAAACAACTCTCAATTCTATTCGATTCGTGGTTCCAAAATTTCCATCTACCACGATCGATTAATAAATTAAACTCCTCAAAACCCTTTACATCTATCGAGACTAATATTAATTCCCTTTATTAATAAACACGAAAAGAAAAAAAAACTTTAAGCGACTAAATTCTTCGCCCAATAATTTCCAAAATCGTTGAACATCGAACAGAAGGGGACGAAAGTTTCTCTCCTTCTCTTCTCTATTCTAACATCTTATCATAAATGGCGAACCGTGTGCACGAAATAAAAAAAAAACAAAAGAAACAAAAAAAACACGAAAAGAAAAAAAAACTTTAAGCGACTAAATTCTTCGCCCAATAATTTCCAAAATCGGTGAACATCGAACAGAAGGGGCCGACAGCTTCTCTCCTTCTCTTCTCTATTCTAACATCTTATCATAAATGGCGCATCGAGTGCACGAAAAAAAAAAAAAAATTTAAGCAATTAAATTTTTCGCCAAATAATTTCCAAAATCGTTGAACATCGAACAGAAGGGGACGAAAGTTTCTCTCCTTCTCTTCTCTATTCAGAACATCTTATCGTAAATGGCGAAATAAAATGTGGACGAAATAAAAAAAAAAGAAACGAAAAAAACAAAAAAGGGGGGGAGGACGTATTAAAAGAGAGAGAGAGAAACAGTGGAGAGGATTAGAGGTTTCGTTGCCAAATGGAAAAGCGGAACGGAAGAT